AGCCATTCCCCCTTACCCTGTTGCTCCAGGCCTTGCCCAAGTCCTTCTCCAGTTGTTTGAACCCCTTTAGGCACTGGAACACTTCCAGGAATGGTTTTCCTGTCAGATGGCCCCAGCAGTGGGTCTGGCAGCACTGGGGCTCGCTGCTCTTTTCTTTTTTTCCCTCACCAACCTTAGGAAGAATGCTGCCTGTAGCACACAGAATCCCTGTCCCACCTCACCCACCTTTCAGCCAGCTCTGGAGGGGACACTGGAGCAGCCAGGGGGACACTGAGGAGAGGAGAGCCAGCCCTGGCCTGGTAGCCGCTGCCAAGAACGATTATTAAACCCTTGCAGAAATTTCCTCTGCAATACAGATTTTTTTTCCGACTGGCATTAGAGCTGTGAAGGAATTACTGAGGAAAAGCCAGGGGGGAGAAGCAGGGAGGGGGGAAAGCGTCTGATGGCTCCGTGGAGGGGCTTAACTCACGGTAAGGTGATGCCAGGATTCCTGTTTCAGCAAAACCGGCGTTCCCAGCGGAAGGCCCCGTGCTTAATCCAGCTGAAACGAAGCCTTGGCAATTAGCTGGTTGCTTTGGCAAACTCCTGGTGATCCAGCAGCTGCCTGGAAGGTGGCACTTCTCCTTCTGCACTCCGCTGGGTGCTTGTCTGTAAACCCTGGGATTTCTTCCCCGCCGCTGAAGATTTCTTTTATCTTCTTTGGCCCGTTAGCAAATGGGCTCACAGCTGCTCCCTGGGGTATTATTTTTGGGATGGCTGTGGAAAGCTTTCCAAGGATTTGTGAGTCCTGCAGAGCCTGCAAGGACAGTCCTGGGAGTGAGGGCTCTCCAGCTCTGTCCTCTGGCAGAACAGATGGAGCAGGGTGGGATGAGATGAGATGCCAGGGTGGCTGCATGGATCACACGTGGTGGGATGGGGTTGGATGTGAGCACAGAGAGGATGGGCCCCGTTTGGTGACAGAGGGGACACGTGTCCAGTGGCTGTTGGAGTTGTGGGTTCTCCCTCAGCTCATTGAGATGTTTCTCCTCCAGCTTCCCAAGACTCCCTGTATGTCCTTGCCAGGAGCCCCAGGACTGGCTCCTTGGATCCAATCTCCCGTATATTCCACAACCTGGAAGCCTCAGCCATGCCAATGACCTCGATGGAATCTCTGCCCCTACTTTCCCTCGGGCTGTGCTTGCTGTGGTGAGGGCTGCATGACCCCTGGCTTCTGCAACCCCTGGCCTCCGACATTCCCTGGTATTTTCAGAGGGATACAGGCAGCAGCTCCCTCCTGGGGGTGCCCTGGGGGAGGTTGGGGATGCCTCCTGATCCCGCTCTGCTCTCTTCCAGCTCACCCTACAGAGCACCAAGTCCCGTGTGGCCTTCTTCGAGGAGCTCTAGGGAACACCTGCTCCGCACCGCTGCTGCTTCCCCATGGCTCCCGCCCAGCCGGAGCCTGTCCCGGAGCCGGGGGCTCCCAGAGGGATCACCCCGGACCCCGCTGGCTGCTCCAGCCCCTGCACACCCACAGACTCAGGGCTGGCTGCCCATGGACTGTGTGATGTTCTCTAGCTTAGCAGCCTATCATCCTCCTCCTGACACTTTGTTTTTCTGGGTTTTCCAGCTTTTATTCCTTATTTTTCTAGCATTGCTTCCAGGCTCGGCCCTCCAGGCTTTTCCCTGGAGCCGGGGTCGGGGCTGTGGCCGTGCCTTCCCATGCTGGCAGCCAGCAGAGGAGTGTGCCCGAGGGTCACCCTGGGAAGGGTTGTCACCCCTGTGGGTTGCCTTCTGCTGCCGGCTCCGGAGCCCCTTGTGCCGGTCTGGAATTCCACGTGCCGATCCTGGAGCGCTGCTCCGCTCCAGCCCCGTGCAGGCGGCGGTGCCGGGAGCTCCATTAGGATCCCGAGCATGTTCCAGTGGAGTGCTGTAAATCAGGAACGTCGCGCTGGCTCTCCCCGCGCCCGCAGGGGTGGGAGGGGAGCAGAGAGCGGGAGGACAGGGACCTGGGCTGGGGGGATCCTGGGCTGCTTCCCTTGCGAGAGGTGGGAGGAAGGGCTCCTCCTCCTCCTCCTCCTCCCTGCTGGGAACAGGGAGCGGGAGAACAGCTAGTGCCAACCAAATGAAACCTTATTGTTCCTGCAAACTGTGACAAACCTGGACAGCTTCAGGCTGGGGGGATCCAGGGGCTCTGGGCTGGGCTTTCCCTGGGTCCCAGGGCATCCCAGCCCCTCGGAGCCCCCCGGGAACGGCGCTATCCCGGCTTGGCCCGGGGCTGCGTGTCCCATGTGGGTGCCTTTGCTCTGAACCCCCGCGGGGGGAACAGCGATGTCCTGACCTTCCCTTCCTGTCTCCGTCCCAAATCCTGGGCCCCTCTCGAGTGGGATCCTCTTCCAGCTGCGTTTACCCTCCAGCAGAGCCGGTGCTGCCCCGGGGATCCCTCACATCCCCTCAGGATCCCAAATTCCTCCTTCCCACAACCTCACCTGACCCACAGCCCCACCGGAGACTCAGCCCGGGGCTTGGCGTGGAGTAAATCCCATCCCAATCCTGTTTATTTAAACGCTGGGATCGATTCCCCGCACGTGGCTGCAGTTCGGATGGCTGTGGCCTGGCACAGCCGCTTTCCCATTCCCTGGACTGTTGTACTCCAAAGGAATAACTGTTTTCTCCTGTTTTAATAAAAATTCACAGCACTAGGAGGGGAGCTGAGGCTTCTTTGCTTTTTTTTTTTTTTGATTTGGGAAAAGCTGCTCGGAGCCCGGCTGCCGCAGTTTGCGGTGCCGGGATTAATGGGAAGCGCAGCTGCAGTGCCGGGATCCCTCCGGCGGTTCCCGCGGGATCGGGATCCTGCTGTCCCCGCTCCCTCGGGGCTCTTTTCATCCCTCCTTGAGGGAAGAGGGTTTGGGGTGCCCAGAAGGGCTGAGCCCGGTGTTTGCCAGCCCTGGTGCTTCCTGATCCCGTCCTGCTTGGAATAAATAAAGGGTGTGCTGCATTGACCTCAATTTTATAATTAATCACGAATGAAAGCGGCCCAGCCTAGCGAGCCCCGACCTCCGGGGCTGTTCCCGGCCCCCGGGCCCCGCCGGGATCGGCGATGGATGTGCTTTTCATCCTCTCTCCGGCAGCAAAATCCCGGGAGGTTCACCGGAGCTTCTCACCAGAGCTCGTCCCCGCGGGTGGGCTGGGGAATTTTTTCCGGTTTTTGTTGTTTTAAGCAGGGCTGAGGGAGGTGGGAGGGGATTTCTTTTGGCAGAGGGATGCCAGTGGGATACCCACGGGAATTCTGGGGAGGCTGAAGGCAGCTGGTGAGAGATGTGGAGGGTGACCTGATTTCCCACGTGGCCTCCAGTGACAGGAATTCAACTGGTGTGTTACCTGCACCGCCTGGATCCTGAAATTAATCCAGAAGAGCTTTTTCCAGCACAAGGCAGGGCAGCAGGATGGGGGAAAAATCTGGGAATGCACAGGGGATGGATGTGCAGGGATGTGAAAGGATGGGATGTGCAGGGATGGATGTGAAGGGATGGGATGTGAAGGGATGGGATGTGCAGGGATGGATGTACAGGAATGGGATGTGCAGGGATGGGATGTGCCGTGATGGATGTGCTGGGGTGAATGTGCAGGGATGGCAGCACCCTCTGCCTGGTCCTGCACCCCACTACGATCCCACACCCATCACACCTCACCCAAAACCCCACACTTGGCTCCAGAGATTCACCCTCAGCTCGCTGGGGTGCCTGCAGGCAGGGCTGGTATATCCCATCCATCCCCACCATCCCCATCCATCCCCGCTGCTGGCTGTGCCCTTCCACCTTTGTCTTCTAGGGAGAAAAAAAGGGGAGGGAAATGAAGAGGGAGAAGGGAGGGGAGAGGCAGCCACGCTGGGGACGGGCACCTAGGGCCACTCTGCTCCCCATGGAGACCTGGCAAGCTCCGTGTGTCCTGCCAGGTTAATCAGGGATTTATTGTGCAGGAAAGCCACAGCTGCAGAGCTGCACGCCCTGGCTGGGACCAGAGCTGCCCACTTATCCCAGGAAAGGATAGTACATGGATGTTGTGGAATCAAATAGATGTGGAGCTCCAGCTCCCAGCGAACTGAGGGTGAATGTCTGGAGCCCAGTGTGAGGTTTTGGGTGAGGTGTGGTGGGTGTGGGATCGTGGTGGGGTGCAGGACCAGGCAGAGGGTGCTGCCATCCCTTCCCTGGGGTCAGATCCAGAGCAGGGATGCTGGAGTCCCACTGCCATCACCTTCTGCTCAGCCACAGGGACACTGGGCATTGTCACAGCCCTGCAGGGATGTGTCTGCTGCCCCTTTCCAGCCTTCCTGGCACTGGGTACCACTGGAGCCTGGCACAGGGTAGCACCAGGTCCTGGAATTCTGGCACCAGACACCGCCAGATTTTGGCATCCTGGCATTGGGTGCCAACAGTTTCTGGCATCACAGGGCATCCCACTGCAGGACAGCAAGCTGGAGAGATGGAACAGGAGAGATGGAGCTGATGTGGCTCTGCACCAGCAGCGGGATGGGAGCAGAGCCAGGCCCGGTGTCCCAGACGCAAAACTTCCCCCGGGAGCCACCTCCTTTCCTTTTGAAAATGCCAGATCCCTCCCTGTGCTCCTCTCTGGGCAGGCTGTGCTGTCCAAAGCATTGGTTCTGATGCTGTTAATGAATCTGAGGGTCTCTGATTGAGATCTCTGGGAGTTGTTTCCTGCTCCATCTCCTGGCACGAGCAAGCAGAGTCACCGCTGCCCTCAGCATCCTGGGCTGCATCCCCTTGAAGGGGTGCTAAAAACGAGCTCATCTCCATTTTTGCCATTTTTCCATAAATAAAGATTTCCCCTAGGCAGAATTCTTGACTCCTCCCCTGGCAGGGCTATTTCCCCCCTTCAGGACTCAAATTGAGCAGAGCTCTCCCGGCTTTTCCCATTCCCCCTTCCCTCCCCGCCCGCACCAGCTGCCTGGAGCTGTGCCCGGTGTTTCCCCATTAGGGGTGGGATTTGCTCCCAAGAGTGGGAACAGTCCCGGCCACGCTGGGAGGAGGTTCCTGACCCCTCCCCAGGGGCTCTCTCCTGCCCTTCCCGGATTTCCAGCGGGCACTGGGAGCTGGCAGCCGGCGGCGAGGATAACCTTGTGGCTCGGAACATTGCAGCCATCCCTCTTCTCCCATCAAGCGTTCATTTAGGAAACATTTCACTAAATACCCACCTGACAGCACGGCCCCGGGAGATTGATGCTTCCAGCGCCTCTGAGGGCTCGATGCCAGTGACTTTAAAATGTCACAGCGACACCCCCGGGGCGCTCATGTCCCCTCCCGGTGCCGGGGGAGTGATGGGAGTGTCCTGTGGTGCCAATCCCCATCCCAGCCCCCTCCGGCTGCCAGGAGGTCCCTGGGGTTGTCCTGAGGGATTTGGGTGCACCCAGCACAGGTTTGTACCATCCCCAGCCATAAGGTTTCCTCATCTCTGTCAACTTTCCCGTGGCTTTGGGACCTCCCCATCCCATCACCAACCCCATCCCCATACTAGCTCCATCCACATCCCATCCCTCCCTTCCCCACTCCTGTGAGGCATCCCTAGCCCATCCTCATCCCCATTTCATCCCATCCCATTTCCAACCCTGTCCCCATCCTCATCCTCTCTCTGTCCCTGTCCCTATATCATCCCCATTCCAATCCTCATCCTCATTTTATGCCCATTCTCATCCCCATCTCACTCCATTTCATCTCCATCCCTATCCCATCCCCATACTCCTCCTCCCATTCTCATCTTCATCCTACCCCCTTCCTCATCCACATCCCCATCTCATCCCATCCTATCCCACCTCACCCTCAACCCATTCCAATCGTCACCCTCATCCCAATCCCATCCCTCAGGGCAGGAAGGAGCCCGGGAGTTTTGGCTGGGCAGAGAGCAGGAGGGAGCCAGAGGGTCCCTCAGTGCTGCCATGGGAGGGATAAACAAGAAGCAGATTAATTAAAGCTCAATCAATCCCATCCCTGTGCCAGAGCCACTTCAGTCCTTTTCCTTTCCATTCCCTCAAATTCCTGGAAGAAATAAGGATTTTGATGTTGGGATGTGAACCCAGAGCGAGGGCTCTTGACAGTGAGATCGCTCTGAAGCTGCAAATAAACCACAGAACACCAGGCCTGGATTGGGCTTCTCCAGCCTCATTAGTGGGATCAGCTAATTAGGAAAACACCTGGGAGTGTTGGGAAAATGGTGCTGTCTCCAGAGGGACAAAGGGACAGAAGGGAGAGGTGGCACTGAGCTGCTGGCAAGGCTGGCCCAAGCCCCGGGTGAGATAAAGGGGAAATTGTGGAGAGGAACATTCCCAACATCCCAGCGGCTGTGGCTGGGATTTCAGCTGAAATCCCTGGGACTCTGCTGCCGCCACCCCATCGTCTTAGGACTGAGCTCTGAGGAAACCCCAGAGCTTCTCCCCACAAAATCAGCGAGGGAATTCAGCACCGGGACCGTGGGGCAGAGCAGAGGCAGCAGACACGGCTCGTCCCAGCCTTCATCCCGTGAGGAAGAGAGCGGTGCGGCTGAGCCGGCCTCCAGGAAAGCACAGAGAGCGCTCCAGGGGGGGATCCCCGATGAACAAAAACCCAGCCAGGGCTTCAAATGCAATTAAGCCACTTAATTTTCCTCCCCCCTGCCCTGTGCCGTCTGCCCATCCCGTCCCTGGGGAAGGAGCCGGGATCACGGGCAGCCCCATCCCTGGGGAAGGAGCCGGGATCACGGGCAGCCCCATCCCTGGGGAAGGAGGCTCCAACACGCCTCTGTCGCTGCACAGGGAGCTCCGCTGGGGATTGGAGGGGGAAAGCCCAGAAATTGGTCCTGTTATTCCTGCTGGGATTTGGGTGGTGACAATTAATGAGCTTCCATCCCAGGGCCTCTAGAGAATTAATTGGGAGGGAACTTCGTTAACATCGAGGAGCAAATTGATTTGTTAAAAAAAAAAAAGGGAGGAAATTTTCAGGCTTTGTTTTTTGGGGTTTTTTTCTCCCAAAAAGACATTTATTATTATCAGCACTTTTCCCTTCGAGTGCTGGGATCTCAACTGCAGTATCAGACACCTGAGACTCCCTGAGACATCCCTCGATGTGCGCCAACCCCATCCCGAGCTCCAGAAGACGAAGGAATTTTAGCAGAGTTGGGAAAATCCAACCCTAAGCCACGACTGCCCGGGAGGAACGACCCTGCCCTGGGAGCTGAGACCCCACAGCATCGGGAATTGCTCATCCCTGAAATCCCCTCGCCGGAGTGCGGCCGTGCTGGTTTTCTGCTGCCGGAGAGGGAAATTTCTCCCAACTAAAAAATAGCTTAAAGGGGACCCCAGCTGGTTAAAGCCAACGGCGGCTGCAGCGGCGGCGCTCGGGAGGCAGCGCTGGGCTCTGGGAATGCCGGAGCCGGGTCCTGGCTGATGCTCCGGGGGGAGATGAGATTTCTGCACACGGAGGTTGGAGCAGCCCAAAAAATTCCCGGCAGCGGTGAATTGGATGAGGCTGAGCACGTGTCCGCGGCGACTGCAGGAGGCGAGGGTGGGCTTAGTGAAGCAGTTGGTTGGAGCAGCAGGAATCCTATTCCAAGATTTTTGGGGCTCCTGTGACAGTGTCAAGATGAGAGGCATATCTGGAGCCTGTCCAGCTGTGCCTCAGTTTCCCCATCGCTCTGACGCATCCTTGGTATCCGGTGAGAACCTTGGAGGTGCCAACTGTTCCCCTTTTCTCTTCCCACCCTGTTCCAGCTCTGGGAATCGCGTCCCTCCGGCCCCCAGATCCTTTCCTCTCGTCACGGCACCTCCAAACGGGCGGAGCAGGAGCCTTGGCAGCCTCCCTGTGCCACTGTCCCCACCTCCGGAGATGCCACCCAGGCACAGGGGACACTGTGATCCCACACCTCCCAGCGGGTCTGCTGGGACAGCCCAACCCAGGGAAGGTGGACAGTGGGATTTGGAAGGGAGGATGTGCCCGGTCCTGGGAGCATTCCTTGTGTGCCTGAGTGCAGGGATGTCACAGGGACACGGATGCCGTGGGGACATGACACGGTGGGGACCTGCCCCGGCGCAGGAGCCCAGCTGTGATTTAATCAACGCCCAAGTGAGAAAAAAGGTGAAAAATGCGACAAAGGTTGGGGGCAAACAGGAGATGACTGGAACAGATGACAGAGATGGAGGGCTTCGCTCCTGGCCCTGCTCCCTACCTCTTCCATGGCTCGTTTTTTCCCTGGTGTGGGAGCAGGAGGTGCGTCCGTGGGGTCTCTGCCACCCCCCAGCACCCCGGGGACCTCGGGCTGATGGCTGGCCCGGGGTGGCACGGGCAGGGGCTTTGGGGTGTTGGCAGCCTGGGGTGCCAAGTGTGGGGACATAGGGGTGACAACTGCCCAGGCATGGGATGCCATGTGCAGGGACCTCGGGGCGGTGACAACCCGGGGTGCCACGTGCAGGGACCTGAGGGTGACGACTGTCTGGGTTTAGGGTGCCACGTGCGGGTGACGGCCTCTTGGAATGGTGACAGTCCCAGAAACCTGCAGAGACCCTGGGCCGGTGACTGCCCCATGAGCAGGGTGCCATGTGCAGGGACCCGGAGGTGGTGGCAGCCTTGGGATGCCGTGTGCAGGAACCTCGGGGCGACAACTCCCTGGGCTGGGGGTTCTGCGTGTGGGGACCTCGGGGTGACACCTGTCGGGACAGGGGGTGTCACAGGGACCCCCAGCCCTGCCTGTAGATCCCCAGTCCCCCCCCCCCCCCCCCCCCCCCCCCCCCCCCCCCCCCCCCCCCCCCCCCCCGAGCACCCCTCGCGGTACCAGCATCTCCCACTCCCCCTCCCTGCGGCCCGGGACGCTCCCCCTCACTGCCGCACTGCCCCCCCTCCAGGCACCCCCCGGGGGAGGCCCCACCTCCCCCCCGCCCCCAGCCCCATTTCCCGGGCGGGACCGTTCAAAACCCGCCCGGCGCCGCCGCTCCCCGGATTCCGCCGCCGCTTCCCGGGGCCGGGGCCGAGGATGCTCCGGCTGCCGGCGGCGGCGGGGGGGCGGCGGGTGCGCGGCGGGGGCTGAACCGCGGCGGCAGCGAGCCCCGGCCTGCCCGGGACACTTGGCGGGGAGGAAGAAGAGGAGGAGGAGGAGGGAGGAGGAAGACGAAGAGGCCGCTTTCAGCCTCGGCCCCGCCATGCCGGGCCCCACCTGGGAGCGTGGCCCGGTGGCAGCGGCTCCCCGGGGGCTGTGAGCGGCCCGGGGCCGGCGGAAGGGGGGCCCCGGGCGGAGGTGGGGGGGGGCTCCGGGCGGAGGGGGGGCCCCGAGCGGCATGGCCAGCCCCGTCCCCCCCACCGCCGCCGCTTCCACCGGGATTTAACCGGGGTTTGCATGCTTTCACCTCCCGTTTCTACTTCGGGAGGGCATGTGCGCGGGGGAAGCGGGCCACCCTCAGCGGAGCCCCCCCGCGCCCTGACTCCGCCGTGAGGGGCTCGGCCGCCAGCCCCGTCCCGCCGCCGGCCCCGGAGGATCGGGAGCGCCCGCCCGCCCCGGCCCCCCCTGGCCGGTGGGTACCGGGCGGGGGGCGGCGGGCACCGGCAACTTGTGTTTAGCGTCCGGCGGTACCGACTGGGGGCAGCCCCCCCTCTACCCGACGAGATTTGGGTTTAAACTTTGGGTTTCGGGGAGCCCCGAAGATGCCTTTCCACCCGGTGACGGCGGCGTTGATGTACCGGGGGATCTACACCGTCCCCAACATCCTCGCCGAGCAGCGCCCCGTGGAGATCCCCGAGGATGAGCTGGAGGGTGAGCGGGTCTGGGGGGCTGTGGGGGTTGGCTGGGGACCAGGGGGGATGAGGGGGACATCCCATGGGATTGTGGGGTGAAGAGGTTTGGGGGACTGGGAAGTCCATCCCGCGGGATGCGGCTGTGGGGGAGTCGGGGTGCGCGTTCCTCCGGCGCCGTGGGGAAGCTGAGGGCGAGCGGGATGCGGATGGATGGAGAAGGAGGAGGAGGAGGAGAAGGAGGAGGGGAAGAAGGAAAGCTGAAGCGGGGAGGCGTGCAGGGGTCCCGGGCCCCCGGTTGTGGCGATATGACACAGCAGGGACCGGCGGTAGTGGCGGGGGGCCGGTTTCCCCTCCGCGGCGCGGCGGGGTCACCCCCTCCCCGCTGTCATAATATGACATTGGCTGGTGGCGCGGGGGACCCGAGGGGTGGCTGTCACCCGTGTCACCCCCCGGCTCACGGCAGCTCCACGCAGTCCCGGTGTCACCGGACTCCGGCCGGGAGGAGCGGCCGGCGGGGCTCTGCCCACCCGTGCGATGAGAGGGGCCGAGCTCAGCTCGCTGCCACCAGAATGGCTTTTTCCGCCCCAAAAGTTTGCCGGGGCAGCGGGACGGGCACTGGCGGTGCCAGGCTTTGGGGTGTCCCTGGGGAACCTGGGGGAAAGGGGTGCAGCACCCCCGGCTCCAGACCTGGCACCAGAGGGGAAACTGAGCCACGGCGGGGTGACCCCACACATGTCCCCACTCTGCCTGGGCAGAGCACCCTTGGCCCAGCACTAAACCTGGAGCCCTCGGCATCTCCGTGGGGAAACTGAGGCAGGGAGCCACAGGGCTGGGGGTGAGGGGAACCCCAAAATCCATTTGGGAGCCCCAAGCAGGCACTCACACCAGTGTGCAAGGGCTCTGTGTGTGTGTGTGTGTGTGCAGCTCTGCAGGGTGTGCATGTGCGCTGACGTGCCTGTCACAGCCTCACTGCAGGGGCTCTGTGTGTGTGTGTTTGTGTGCACAGGCATGGCACATCCCCTGCACACCGTGCTGCAGGTGTGCTCACACATCTGTATGGCCACACATCTGTACGCACACGCATGGCCTTGCTGCAGGGTGGCTCTGTGTGTGTGGCTGTGCCAGTGTTTGTGTCACTCGGTGTGTGTGTGGCTGTGCCAGCGTCACTGTGTGTGGCCGTGCCAGTCCCTGTGGCTGTGCCAGTTTGTGTCACTGCAGCACGTGCGTGTGTGGCTGTGCCAGTGTTTGTGTCACTGCGTGTGTGGCGGTGCCAGTTTGTGTCACTGCAGCACGTGCGTGTGCCCATGCACAGCCTGGCTGCAGGAGGTGTTTGTGTGTGTGCACACAGCGTCACAGCAGGACGGGCTCGTACGCACAGCCCTGCTGCAGAGGGTGTTTGTGTGCCTGTGCACAAGTGCAGCACCGCTGCAATGGTGGGGTGTGTGTGTAGACACAAGCACAGCTGTGCTGCAGTGGGGCAGTGTCTGTGTGCATGCACCAGTGCAGTGGTGTGCGGTGTTTGCGTGTCTGTGAGCACAAGTGCAGCATTGCTGTGACGTGGTTGTGCGTGTCCGTGCGTGTGCACACACCAGTGCAGCACCACTGCAAGGGGTGTGGGTGTGCAGGCACAGGGATGTCACTGCAGGGGGGTTGTATGTGCATCTGTGTGTGTGTGTGTGCATGCACAAATGCAGCTGTGCCGGTTTTGGTGTGTGCACACACAGGTGCAGCACCACTGCATTGTGGTCGTACGCATTTATGCGTGTGCACAAGTGCAGCATGGCTCAAGGAAAGTGCACGTGCACATGCACTGAGGTACTTGTGCAAGGTGTTGGTGTGTGTGTGCACATGCACAGGTGCATCTGTGCGAGGTGGTGTGCACACACAGGTACAGCATCACTGCGAGGTGTTGGTGTGCGCTGCATCCATGCACGTCACTGCAAGGGGGCTGCGAGTGCACCCGTGTGTGTGTGCAGGAGCACAGGGCTCCAAGGTGCTGGGGTGTGTTTGCACACTCACACCATCACTGTGAGGTCTGTGCACCACACAGGTGCAGTGTCACTGTGCCGTGGTGCTGGCTGTGTCCCTGTGTGTGCAGCGTCAGTGCAAGGGGTGTGTGTGTGTGTGTGTGTGTGTGTGTGTGTGTGTGTGTTTATGTGTGTTTACATGTCTGTGTGTCTGTCTGTGTGTCTGTTTGTGTGTTTGCACACCTGGGCACATCCCTGCAAGGTGTGCGAGTGTGTGTGCACAGCTCCAGTGTAACTACCAGGGGTGTCACAAGGGTTTATGGTCTCTGTGTGTGTGTCTGTGTGTGTGTGTGTCTGTGTGTGTGTCTGTGTGTGTGTGTGTGTCTGTGTGTGTGTGTGTCTGTGTGTCTCTATATGTGTCTTTATATGTGTCTGCGTGCCCGTGCATCCGTGTGTCTGCATGTCTGTCTGTCTGTGTCCGTCTGTGTGTGTCTCTGTATGTCTGCGCGTCCGTATCTGTCTGTGTGTGTGTCTATGTGCGTCTGTCTGTGTGTCTGTGTGTCTGTGTGTCTGTCTGTGTCTGTGTGTCTGTCTGGGTGTGCTCACACCTCTCCGTGGTGTCCCTACCCACTCTCCGTGTCCCTGCACCAGCTGTTGTCCCAGTTCACCCAGTCCCTGGGCTCCCAGTGCCGTGTCCTCTCCTCCCTCCTCCCCCGCCTGCAGCAGAGGGGATCTATGGCAGTGCTGGGAGCCCCAGGGGGACCCCACAAGGTGCCAGACACCTACGGGCTCCTCCCTCCCCCTGTCCCCCTGGTTTGGGGGGCACCAGTGACATGGTTCCACAGTGGGGCTGAGCAGACTCAGGGCGCAGCTGGGGCAGGGGGTGCTCAATGGGGAGCCAGGACCCCACTCTGGCCACTGTCAGGACATGTCCTTGCCTGTCCCCAACACCCCGAGCCATCTGATGAGGAGCCACCTTGGAGCTCTTTGGGATGAACATCCTTGAAGGATGAATTTTGGGGGTGCCTGGAGTGAGGTAAGGCCCCCCAGGAGCACAGGGAGAAGCTGCAGGATCTCCCTGCCCAGGCAGGGACACTGGCCATGGAGAAGCTCAGACTGACAGGCCAAAATCCCACAAAACTTCCCCAAAACAACTTGAAGATGTCACCCATGTGACACCATCTAGGCAGGGATGTTCCCAAGCACTCGGGGTCAGTACTGTGACCCAATAGAGGTTTTTTCCCCCAAACCCAAAGTTCACAGCCCATTTCTCCTGCTGGGATCCTCCAGCACAAATCCCCCTGGCAGCCTCATGGAGGAGGAAGAAGCACCAATATCCTGGCCTGGCTTCTTGCTGTCCCCCAGTACAAATTCCTTCTTTTCCATCAGCCTGGTTCCTGCTTGGAACATCAGGTGGCATCAAAAAGCCAGAAACTGCCCCAAAAAGGAGCAGAGTCCTGAGTGGAGCAGGAGGTGGGATGGAGTCAATGGGCTCAGGCTGTGCCTCAGTTTCCCTGCAGCCTCTCCCTGCCACCCTGCAGGGATCTTCCCCCACTTCCCAGGGGTTCCTTTTCGAGCCAGAAACCCCCAAACCTCCCACTTCCATCCTCTTCTGTGCCGGACAGGGCTGAACACTGCAGCAATTTTGTCAAGATTTGGGATTGTTTTTGGGTGAAGTGTGGCACAGCTCCAGCACCCACCTCTGGACCCCAGGATGGGGGAACAGACCCACCCTAAAACCATGGGATGGGGCACAATCCCCTGGGATTGGGACAGTCCCCAGCACCCCTGGATCCCCAGGAACGCTCCCGGCTGGATGCTGCGGCACCGTGGGGATGCCCCCAGCTGCAGTGCCCACCTGGTGGCACCCCAAGCTCAGGCACATCCCAGGGATGTGTTTTTAGGGCAGAACGTCGCGTGTTCGCCCGTGGCAGCAGCAAGGGCAGGGTGGGTGCGGCAGCGAGTGACGGGAATTGGAGCAAATATTCGGAGCCCTTTGGGGATGCTGGGGCTCCATGCTGGCAGGAGGGGGAGGTGGGACCCCCACAGGGGTTCTGTGGATGCCGGAGCTCAGCCGGACTCATTCCTGCTCCCCACACAGAGATCCGGGAAGCCTTCAAGGTATTCGACCGCGATGGGAACGGCTTCATCTCCAAGCAGGAGCTGGGCACAGCCATGCGCTCCCTGGGGTACATGCCCAACGAGGTGGAGCTGGAGGTCATCATCCAGCGCCTCGACATGGATGGTAGGACCCCGGCAAGCCGGGATGGGGACGGGACGGGACCCCCAGCTGGGAGAAACACACAGTTCTCCCATATTTCCACCCCACATGCTGGACACGACATGGGATGTGGGATGAGCCTGACCCAGGCTCTGCCTCCTGCTTATTCATCATCATCATCATCATTGCCACTGCAGCTTTGTTTGGGAAGATTTAGGGATCTTGGATGCTTGTAGGATCGCTAAACCTCCTGGGACCACGCTGCCGAGGCTGGATCCCGCACCCGGGGATGGATCCTGCACCCTGGGTCGTGTCCTCAGCACCCATCACCCTCCAGCACTCGCTGCCACCGTGACCCTGTCCCCGCTCCTCCCTCGCCCGTCGGGACCTGAAAGAGCTCCTTAATTTATTGCTTTTCCTTTTCTCCCCCATTTAAAAGCCCTTCCGGCAGCGCTGCCAAGGCGTTGCTCCCTTCATTACTCATTGTTAGTGCTGCCTGACAGCCCCACGCCAGCGTCCCCCTCTGCCAAGGGACACGGCCAGAACGGCCACCAAGCTCCCCCAGGGTCACAGCCACCCCCCAGGGTCCCTGCTGGAATTGGGGTCCCAGCTGGAATTCAGGGTCCAGCTGTCGTTCAGAGTCCTGGACAGTGTTGGGCTTTCCCAATCAGTACTGGGGGCTCCGGGGGACACTGGGTGTCCCCAGGTCCCATTGGAAGGGGGCCCAAATGGCATTGGGGGTCCCCAGATATTGCCGGGGTCCTCAGCCAGCACTGGGGGTCCCTATATGGCAGTGAGAGTCCTGGAGCCCCCAGCTAGTGTTGCCATCCCAGCTGGTGTTGGGGACACAAAACTTTGTAGGAGTGTTGGAGTCCCTGGCTGGTTTTGGGGGGTCCTCAGCCAACATTTGTGGTCCCCAAATTAGCCCTGGGAGGCCTCCAGATGGCATTGAGGTCCCAGCTGGAACTGGGGTCAGCTCATGTTCGTGTCCTGGATGATGTTTGGTTTCCCCAGCCAGCACTGGGGTCCCAGATCACATTCTGAGGGGACTAGGTGGTATTAGGGTGTCCCCAGCCCACACTGGGTGTCCCCAGTTGGAACTGGTGTCCTGGCTGGCACTGAGGACCCCATCCAATATTGGGCATCCTGGCCAAAGCTGGAAGTTCCCTAAATTTGCTGGAGGTTCCCAGCTGACCTTGGGGACCTCAACTGGTTTTGGGGATTTGTGACCACACGTGGGGCCCCTTCTGGGAGGGAGAGTGCCCCATGTGCCCAGGTAGGGGGTGACAGTCACCCCTGTGTCCCACAGGTGACGGGCAGGTGGACTTTGAGGAGTTTGTGACATTGCTGGGGCCCAAGCTCTCCACCTCGGGCATCCCGGAGAAGTTCCACGGCACCGACTTCGACACTGTCTTCTGGAAGGTAGGGACACCCCCAGCCCCCACAGGAATGCAGGGACACCCCCAGCCCCCATGGCAATGCAGGGACACCCCCAGCCCCCATGGGAATGTAGGGACACCCCCAGATCCCATGGCAATGCAGGGACACCCCCAGCCCCCATGGGAATGTAGGGACACCCCCAGATCCCATGGCAATGCAGGGACACCCCCAGCCCCCTCGCAGGGGCAGCACCCCAGAACCTGCACTGAGAGCACCACGGAAGGCTCAGAATCAGGGCCAAGGTTGGAGTTGAGATCAGGGACAGGATGAGGGCCAAGGCTGGAATTGGGGTTGGGCTGAGGGTAAAAGTCAGGTTCTGGGTCAAGGATGAGGTTAGGGTTATGGTTAGGGTTGGTTTAAGAGTCAGGATTAGGTTTAAGATTAGGATTAGGGTCAAGTTTAGGGTCAAGCTCAGGCTCCAGTTTAGGGTTAGTATAAGCCTTGGTGTCAGGATCAGGTTCAGCTCTGGTTTAAGGTTTGGGGTTAGGGCTAGGTTTAGGATTAGCGTTTGGGTTGGAGTCAGGGTTACAATGAGGGTTGGGATCAGGTTTACTGGTGAGGCCAGGATCAGGACTGGGGTCAGGAACAGGTTCAGGGTCAGGGTTTGGGTCAAGGTCAGGATCAGGATGAGGTTCAGGATCAGTGTCAGGGTGCACCCCCGATCTCCTGTGCCCCTGTCAGGAACGGGCCACGTTTGGTGCCAGCACCCTCTGGTGCCCCTCACTCTGCTGGGGGTCACCTTTCCCAGACAATTCCAGGGTGATCCACACAAACCAACACAAGCAAAGGTTCTGGGGGACCCCGGAGCCCCCTGTGCTGGCGGCCATGGGGTCACCCCAAGCCCCCCTGTCCCCGGCAGTGTGACATGCAGAAGCTGACGGTGGACGAGCTGAAGCGGCTGCTGTACGACACCTTCTGCGAGCACCTGTCCATGAAGGACATCGAGAACATCATCATGACGGAGGAGGAGAGCCACATGGGCACGGCCGAGGAGTGCCCCGTCGACGTGGAGAGTGAGTGCGGGGCGCCGGCAATGCCAAAAGCCGTGGGGATGCCAAACCCCCCACGGGGATGCCAAACCACGGGGATGGCACTGCTTCCCTCTCTCCTTAGTACAAGGAGAATGTGTTTGGGATTGGGGTAACGCGGTGTTTGTCCCACCCCAGCCTGCTCCAGCCAGCAGATCCGCCAGACCTGCGTGCGGAAGAGCCTCATCTGCGCCTTCGCCATCGCCTTCATCATCAGCGTGATGCTCATCGCCGCCAACCAGGTGCTGCGCAGCGGGATGAAGTAACGGGGGGCCCCCGCCGCCGGGGACCCGCAGCGACAGCGAGGAGGAGACACCTATAAATATCTATAAATATCTCTATGTACATCCATCCGTGGCCCAGAGACCCCCCGGGAGGGGGGCAGCCGAGGGGACAGAGCCGCGCCGGGGCCCCGCCGTGCCGGGCGCTGCCGTCGCTGCTGTTTGCAGAGCACGGAGACTTTGGTACCGACACCGACACACCGAACCCCCCCTCGCCAGACCAAAACCGACCCGTGAGTGCATGTGACGTGCATGGAGCCCCGTGAACCCCCTCCCGCGGCGGATCCCGTCCGATTCTCCGATCTAGCGTTAGAGCTCATATTTAGGATAAACCAAATCATCCCCTAAGCAATACACGCGCCTGAGATGGTTCCTAGAGCCGGGAGCGTTTGCATGGACTTGGCTGCCAAGGGCTGGATTTCCACCCCCCAAACCCCTCCCTGTCCCCCCGCCCCGGCCCCGTGCCGTGCCTCGGTTTCCCCACCTGCCCGGGGCGGGGACATTCCTGACCTGCTTGATGCACTTTGAGCCGACCCCCCTTGGGAAGAGCCGGAGCGACCCCGAGGCCGGGGAGCCCCGCACAGCCCGGAACCCCCCAGCCTGTATGTAGCACCCACCTGGGCACGGACTGGTTCGGATTTGGGGTCGTTTCTCATTCTTTGGAGTTTTTGGGGGTTTTGGGGTGGTGGTTTTGTTTTTGTTTTTGGGTTTGTTTTGTTTTGTTTTGTTTTTTGTTCTTCCTGGTTGGTTGTTTCCGATCTGAAATAAAACTGGGATTTCTGAAGCGCTCTGGGCTGCGGAGGCTCCTGGAGATGCTGGGATGGAAGGTGATGGCGTGGGGCCCTGGCAGCACCCATGGGTGCTGCTGAGTCCTCCTGGCACAGGAGGTTGGCACTGGTCTGGGGGGCTGTGACCCCAAGGATTCCGGGGGCTGGAGCATCCCTAAACTTTGGGGCAGCGGGACCTGGTTCCTTCCCAGCAGCTCCCACAGCCCCCATTCCACTCCAGCTGCGGATCCTGCCAGAGGATCCCATGGATCCCAGCGGTTTTATTCCCCTCTCCACGTCTCGTGTCCTGATATTTTACGGTGGATTTGGCGAAGCCTCGATGGGGAGGATGCTCAGCCCAAGCCCCTTCCCAGAAGTGTTTTCACCTGGATTAACAGTAATTCCATCAGGAACCAGGATGTGTTTGGGGCACTCAGCGAGGCTCCACAGGATCACAATTCCTGGGCCAAGCTGGATCCTCAGATCCTGCCCCAAGGCTAGTGGCAGGGAGCATCCTGTTAGTCCTGATTTACACCACTGGGTCCTGACCCCGGTGTGAGCCCCCCAGGGCTCAGGGACATTGGGAATCTCACCCCTCACATCTGTGAGCTGTAGGAGCCCATTCCCACCTAATGGATCGCCCTCCCCAAGCCCTCAGCAATGCATTTTTAATGGCGAAGAGATTAAAGGAATAAATAAAAACAGGGAAGCGCTTGGGGATGGGACAGAATCAGGCAAAGCTGCTGCTCCCCCATGATGGGGCACATCCCACTGGGAAAGGGGCTGGAGGAGCCCATCCCAGGACACTGGGGCTGGGACATCCCCACCTTCACCCCCCTGGCTGCTCCCATGGGGAAAATACATTTCCTAGCACGGGCATGGGAATTCCCACCCTGCAGCACCACGGGGGGGGGAGGACACCGAATTTTTAGATGCCAGAAGGAATTGGTGGTGTTTTATTGATCTGGGGTTTGGGTGGGGCCTTTTTCTGATCTTCTCTAATTTATCAAACAAATTGAAGCGAACGTCCAAATGAGAAATGGAAATGGGAAGTGCTCCACGGCAATGAAATAATTCCAGCTGCCTGGCAAAGTGCGGGAGGCTCCGCATCCGTAATGAAATTTCATCCATCTCCCCTGCAGAAAGTTTGGATTTTTTTATGGACTGGCATTTCCAAAGGAGACACGTGGCATCGGAGACATGTGTGTGTATATATATATATATATATATATTTATTTTTAACCAGGTCTGTTATAGACACTGTGAATAAACATAAGAGAATGGAAAAAAAAAAAAAAAAAGGACAATTTAATTTGCCAGAAAATACAATAACGTAAAAGAAAAAATTAGATAAAAGGAATAACGCCATCCCCGAAGCTCAGCGTTTGAAAGCTGCTCAATTAATTTTAATGGGAATCGGCAGAACGGATTTCTTGGGGCAGGTTTGGAATGGCAGCTCCCGATCCCGGAGCAGGCGGGGAGTGGGGTCCCTGCTCTGCCGCAGCGGCGACGGATCACTGCGGCTGCTGCAACAGAGATGCTCCGGGATAATTCAATTAAGGGGCCGCCAGGAAAGGGAAAAACAAAGGGAATGTGCCGGGAGGTGGGGGCTGCCGCGGGCGAGGGGAGGTGGGAGGGAGCAGGACCCTGCACAGCTGCCCTGGACATGGGGACAACGGAGCAGGAGTGGCAGCAAACCCAGCGGGGGTTGCAGGGCTGCGATTGCATTGCTCTGGGAAGTGTTTGGGATAGGAGGAAAGAAGTTGGTAATGGTTGTTTCTCTCTCTTGTGCTGCAAGAAGTGTGGGATGGGCTCAGCTCCATCCCTCTCTCAGTCCCATTCCCATCCCTGTCCTGGTCCCAGTCTCTGTCTCCATCTCCAACCCCATCCTCAGTCTCATTCCCATCCTTATTTCCATTCCTCTCTCTGTCCCTTTCTCCTCTCCCCATCTCCTCCCCATCCTCATCCCAGACGGCTCCCCATCCCCATTCCCCTGCTTATTTCCAACCCTGCCCCTCTCCCCTCGCTCAATCCCCATCCTTGACCCTATCTCTACCCCCATTCCAATCCTTTTTTCTATCTCTCTGTCCTGTCCTCACCCCAGTCCACATCCTGTCCCCATTCCCACTCCTGTTCCCGTCCCCCTCTCTTCCAGCAAGAGCTGCCAGAGGACACGGGCAGAGCCCAGCAGGGCTGTGCTTGGCCGGGGCCCAGCAGCCGCTCATTTCCCTAAAAGCTTCCCGATAAATTACTCCGGTTCTTGCTCCAGCAAAGGCACTTTGGCTCGGGCTTCACTATCGGGCAGCAGCTCCTCACCCCCACCACAGGGACAGTGAGTCCAACCCTGCAGCATCCCCTAGGATCAGGTACAGCCAGCCCCATCCTGCTTTGGGGTCCTCCTCCTGCAGCCTTTTCCCGTGGATGAGCCCACACGGCTGTGTGCCAGTGATCCATGGCATTGTCACACCTCCTGCCACTTCCTGTGACACACACCCCTCAAACCCTGCACTGCCCAGCCTCCTCCAGCCCCCGGGAGTTACACAGTCCATGTATCCACGATCCTGCAGGTGATGCTGGGCTCGGCCCGTCGGCCACACATCCTGCAGCTTTTGTGGGAAAACCCCAATTTTAATGAATCCCCCTTGCCAGCTCCTGTCACCTCCCCCTGGACAGGCTTGAGTTCAGCAGGGAATGCTCCTGCTCTTGCCTTTCAGCCTTTATTGGGAATTTCTGCTTCTAGAGCAGCTCAACTCCTTGGGAGCAAGGAAGAGCATGGAAAGGCTGCAGCTGTTGTGTTTTACACCGAATTTTCATTTACAGTTGGGTTCCAGAACTTGCCCAGAGAACTCTACCTAATTTAAGCTGGATCTGGGGAGCCCTGAAATTCAGAAGTGGTGGGTAAAAGAACCCCTCCTGGATCAGCTGGAAAACCCACCAGGACTGGAGCACACAGAGGGGAGCAGGCCTGGGGACTGATCAAAGCACAGCTCCAATCAGTGTGTGGAACAGGGAAGGATTTTGATGTTGACTGGGGAAAAAAAACCATGGAAGGGACTGGAGTGGGAGTTCCTTGATCTGTTGGTGCTGGTGGCCTCAGAAGGTGTCCAGGAATGTGTCCTGGCTGTCACCAGTTGAGCAGCCACTGTCCCCCCCACTCAGTGGAGCCCTTCAACATTGCCATGTGTGACAGGCTGGGGCACAGGGATGCACATCCAAGCTTGGAGAGAGCAGGCCCAGCTCCCACTCTGGAGCATCCCACAGCCCTTGGGGGGCCCCCATTTCCCATTTCCTTGGGGGTAGGGTTCCCTTGCTCCAGAGACTTCCATCCATTCCAAAGAGGAGCCACCTGGGTGCTCTTATTAATCCACCTGTCCTGCATGTGGAAGTGAGGATAGGACACAGGGCTGATCCTGCATCCTTCGAGCCCCAGCCCTGTGCTTCTGCTCTCCAGCAAACCCAGGGCTCCTGCCTAGAAGGATAAAAACATTCTCTAGTTGGACCTGAAGCTCATCCAGGCTCCAGCCAAGGCTGGCTGCTGTCACATCCAGTCCCTGCTCCTGTCAGAGCCCATCTCAGGATGGGGCTGATGCTCCTGTGATAATTTGCCATCACATCCCGAGGTGGGAGCCCTGCCCTGCTGGAGAGATCCAGGCAGGATTTGGCCATAGGCAGCTGGCTCCTGCCTGTGCTCTTCATGAATCTGGACCCACCACCTCCCTGCCCAGCCAAACCTGGAATACTCTGGCAGCGGGCACGGCCCTCCTGGACAAATCTGCTGCCTGAGCTGCCTCCAGGGATGCTGCTGGACAGGATCCCCCCTGTCCCAGGAGCTGCACACCCTGCACACCCTTCCTGAGACAGCCAAGGGCCTCCCTCACCCCAAGCTTTACCAGCAAGGAGAGACGACTCAAATTCTCAGTGTGGAGAAACCTTGGGATATTTTCCCTCTTTGCCCCTCGCCTGCAGCACATCAGAAGCAGGGCTGAGGGAAGCTCCACAGGAGCTCCAGCACCTGGACCCAGGCAGGCTCACACTCTGAATTTATCAGGAACAAACACGGCACAAACACCTGAGGAAATTAAACATCAGTTCTAAAAGCCTGGGTCGTTGTCCAGCCTGGATCACAGAGCCCAGCATGGAGCTGGACAGAGCAGGCAGAGCAGGGACCTGAGGGGATGGAGCCCACCCAGGAAATGGGGAATGTTGGCTCCAGGTGAC